GACGTCAAAGCAGCTCCTGCAGCCTAATCTGGCTTTCTTAAAGGCCAGGACACTCTCTGCACCAAGTAGCAATAACAAGTTTCAAATGAGAGACCTAGAGGCAACTAATTAAATAAAAGAACAACTAGCAGAGTCCAAATTAATGACATTATAAAATGTCTATGGAATCAGTATAAGCAACAAATTAGTATTAACATTATTATAAGGATATATTTCCTGAGATCTTGTGATGATACTGAAATTTATAAATGTGACAATGCCCAGTGATAAAGAACTATTCAGGGTCAAAAGTTCCAGGGCATTTGTGGAAATAAAGATATTTTATCTCTTGCTTTGGAATTTAAGTTTAAGCAATAGCATCCATTTCTGGACTTGTTCTGATTGAAGATAACACAATAATCTAATGTAATGCAACAAGATTCAAATTTAGGTCACTTATAAAAGAAATCTCTTCAAAGTCCCTTTAGTCATAGAGACTTGCAATTCCCAAAGAACAAGAGCGCAGGCACTTGTAATGAAAAGCAAACTGGCTTGCTTTTTATCCTTATTATCCTTAGAAGATCATTGGTATGTCAACAGAACCTGCAAACTTCTCAATAATTTCTCAAATTCCTCAATAACCCTGTGGCCTAAACAAATCAAAAAAGGGACAACCAATAGTTTATAATAACCAGTAACTTTTCTATAAATTATAGAACAAGCTGACAAGCAAAAGTTCTCACAGAATTGTTCTTGTTTGGCTCACTTTTTTCTTAAAATTCAGAAAAGTCAGGCATACTTGAAAAATACCCAGGACTCCTCAAATGCAAGGTTTCCTTCAGCTTTCTAGGTTGTTTCATGCTACTAATTCACTGATCAAAATCTAGATATAATTCAAGATTTACTCATGCTTCCTCAAAAAAATTATTTCATAAATATGTTTAGTTCTAAGAGGGAAGTGGACCTAAGTTGCAATAAAAACCATTCTTAGGAATACAACAAATCTATTCAAGCACCTATTTCAAGAGGGAAAAAAATGATACACATCAGAAATAACTGCATTTTATTTAAAAAAATATTTACAGAAAACTGTTCAAGACCTCATCTACTTGGGTAAAGAAACAGAAAATAGATTTGATTATTTCCTATAATTTCAAAAGCTTATTGTAGTACCTTCATTATAATCCTATTACTTCAAAAAAAAAACCCTAACTATCAGAAAAACTCCCTATCAGTAGTAGCACCTTGACCTGCCTGGTCTTATTACTGGGCAAGTTTTTACTATTAAAAAAAAAAAAAAATCCAAAACAAAACCAAACCTGATTACCCAAATCAACATCAAAATTAACTACATTATCACATTTTTTTCAAACAACTTATGAGTAAAAAATTCCACTGATATAGAGTAGTCTGATGACCTATGTGCTACTTAAAATCATAAACACTTTAAGTAGCACACAGTCTATCTAAATACATACCATTGTATATAGATTGTTTATGTCCATTTTAAACTTAAGACAGAAATCTTGTCATTACAGATTTATTTTAATAAATATCAAACATTAACTCAAAAAAAGCCCCACATAAACTTACAAGAGAAATTTAAAATAAAACAGGCTACACTAGTCTAAACTCACAGGCAACAAAAATTAAAAAGTATGCTTCATTTGTGTATTCACCAACAGGCCTGAATATAAACAAAACTAAGTCAATAAAGAAGACTACTAGCACTGGAAAATTTAGACAGAATATCAATGAATGTATAAAATACAAAGCATTATATGATGCGTTTGAATGCAAAACCCACAGATTTATTAAAACATATGATTAACTTAAAAACACCAAAACAGTTTGTTTAAAGTGCTCCTCAACCAAAACTTTGGACAAAGCCACCACCCCAAAGTGAACTCAAAAAAACAGATTACAAGGCAAACACTGACAATAGGTATGGACAGGGACTACCAAAAAATGCTATTTGTTCTTTAATAATGCCATCCTCAAGGGATAAAAAGCAGTCGCCTTGACAGAATTCCTTTTTTTTGTACAAATAGTCATAAATAAAAATGTCTCTGGATATTCTAAAGAGCTGCAAACAATACCTTACAACAGCAGCTTAATGTCTATTTTAGGAAAAAAGCACTAAAATCCTCTTCCATTGAAAGTTGTTTTATTTCTCTGGTATAAGTGAGCAAGGTCACCACAATATCAATCTCTTTTCTAGAACAATGTAAATAACAATGTATACACATCTTAAATTTGGTAGGTCACAAAAGTCAGGATGCAAACATCTTTTGATAAAACAAAAAATAAATAAATAAAAATTAAATACTTTAACCCAACATTTGGTATTGACAAGTCAGTAGTGTCAACTTCACATATGAAGGACAATACAGTCTGGTTGTTTAAAAACGCTCAGTATCTCATGATATTTGGGCTACAGGTATTTAGATTATTAAGTATTTCCTTTTTGATTAAAGGAATACAATACAATCACCATCAAGCTGCTCTTGTAACTCATTTTTAGCTGGGGTAAAATGACCATTTGGTCCATGGCACAAGTTAAATATACCACACTCTGTCAAACTGAAACCTTTTAAGATTTCATGTTTTGGCTCGGCGCCTATAGCTCAACCGGCTAAGGCGCCAGCCATGTACACCTAAGGTGGCGGGTTC